TATGCTAATATTCGTATTATATTCAAAATTGATGAATTATTTTTGACGTCGATTTTTTTTTAGTCATTTTTCTTTTTAATTTAATGTTTATATCAGTAACTATCTCAATGTTAATTTCTTTCCTCCCTGTTATTTCTGTTTAAATTAAAAGGGTTAGTTATTATATTATCTTATTTTAAATACTTAACGACTTATTCTTACAAAAAACTAGTGGTACTACATTTGTGTACGATATAATTCAAACATACAAACAAATGGTGGCGTTATAATACTTGAAATACCGGATCTACCTTTATTATACAATTTTAACATAAAAGTACCAGAAATTGATAAACCATAATATAGGTATATTTAAGAAGCTATCTCTCATTAAAAATGTTTACAATGGTGATTAAAAATAACAAAATAATTTTAAATACTATACCAGGAGAAAACAATAACCAGCTCATTAATTTTGATTATTTCATGCGTAATAATTTCTATGGTTTACCCATTATATTTTATTATTTTATTTTATTGAAATACGATTACAGTACCTATATAATGGCACAATTTATTGTGTGTTATTGGAGTATTAGATAAACATTATTTAAATAAAATAATATGATTTAAATTAATATATTAATTTTTCATAATCTTAAATTAATTGAAAACCATGCTATGCATAATATATAATATATTGTGTTGAATTTAAAGAAACAAAATATCCGAATATTAATATAATTCATACGAATATTAAATTGCCATAGAAATKAATTTTGAATGAAAATTTATCCAAAAATTGCAAATGTCCTAATAATTCAGTATCTATTCAAATCAGTTGTTTACAATTCGCGTCATTTTACATTTTGTTTATTGCTGTTTTTAGGGCACATATTATGTAAATACACTTGTATATTAACGAATTATCTACAATCCACTACCCCTGGCACTCTAAAGTGCTTATGTTTTGCATAACTCTTATCAAAAGTAACCAAATTTATTTTATATATTTTGTCAGATATTAGTTATAAGCAACATTTTTACACATAATTTGACACTTTTATGGAAGTTCATGCAAAGTTCATGAAAGTTTAGTTTTTGAATATAGTTAAAGCCAATATGCACCCAAATGTTGTTACATATTTTGTTGATAATCTATGTATTAAATAAAAACATATTTTTAGCATACTTAAGTGTTGTACAAGACAAAGGTAAATACAATATTTTAATAATTATACTACAGTTCATAGTTATTTTGCAGTTGGTTTTTTTCTAATTGATAACTATGATACAGATTCTAACTTTATTTACTTAAATTCATATTTTTTGTATTTCCTCTTTTATAAGTTTAATTAAATTAAATATGCTACTGTAATATATAAGTAATTTTAAGTTGTTAACATGTAACACTCTACTACCACCATAAGGTCTGCTTAAAGGTATAGTAGATAAAACAATGTTTTTGTTTTAAATAAAAAAAAAAAATCATCAGGTACAAAATATTCTTCTCCAGGATACATATTAACACATAATGATTCTATTATTTACTATGAATTACAAATTACAAAATCCAATTTTCCATAATTATATAGTTTCATAATTTATGTAAATGTTTGTGGATAATATTTTATCGATAAACGATGTTGTTCTAGACTAATTCTATTAATCACATTGACACGCATTTAATTACAAATTGATAATAATTATTGATATTTATTGTACCTACATTCAATTTTTATATAGGTATACTCAATATATTATATTTATTATACTTATGTTTACATTTTATTCGTCAATAAGTTATGTAACTTAAAAATTCTTTTCTTATTTTTATTTAAATTTAAAATTCTAATCTTGATAATAGCATATAGTTGGAATATTAAATTAGTACTTAAATTATTTTGATACTACCTATGTACATTTACCTAATAATATATTATGTTAACAAAATACTTAATAGATTTCAATCAAACGCCAACACTGAAGTGAATAAAATATATTGAAAATTGTTAAATAATACGTTTGAACACAAATCAACACGCCCATCTATTTTATAGTAATATATAGTGATGGTTGCGTGGGGTAAAAAATGGAAAGCAATAACGATAGCTGCTATTTATTTTTTTTCAAACTAATAAATCAAAAAAAAAAAGGTAAATAAATCTTCATTATAAAATAATTCTGATTTTGATTAACTAACAATATCAGTTGTTTATAGTGCCATAATCATTCATCTGGTGCCGCAACTGTATACATAATGTGACAATTTAATTATCTTACGTGTACAAATTATTTTAATCGATAACTTATATTAAAATTGGTACTCATGTATAATAATCTATAATTAATAAAAACGATCGTTTAAAAAAAGTGTGACGAACTGAATAACCATTATGAAAAATATACTTTTTTAACATTTGTGTCTTTTTATTGAACTGTGATATTTACAAAGACTATAGATATTCGATACGTATAGAGGGGAATAGCAATCCTATTATAAACATGCTGACAAAACATTTAAAACCATCAAATTAGCGTGACGAATTGATTAGTATAGTATGAGGGTAACAAGCCTTTAAACTTAAATCCATTTTAATATTGCGTTTTATTACGTCTGGTTAAAAACTTATATGTACTTATTATGCCTCTCGACTATTTATACTTCGCAACTATTAAACCAATTTTATATAAACCTATCATAAATGTATACCTACCTAATAACTTTTAGTAATAAGCATTAAGTTTAGGCACATGAATAAATTGATAAAAGATTCATTTTTTTTTTCAAACGTATCTAATTTAACATAAAAAAAATGTTGTAAAAATGTAATTAGTAAATTTAAAAACTAATAATTATTGTACATTTTTTTTTTATGGGACAGATACCTAATTGAAATATATACTATACCTACATTATTTTTATTAATTAATCAAAAACAAAAAAAAAATAACATTTTTAAATTTCAAAATGGTCATTTATTAGTTATTACTGGAAATGATGGAATAATACCTATAAGAATTAGTATTCGTCCACGTATATATGTAGTGTCAAACAAGTTATGAAAATCTTAAACCATATTTTATTTAAAACAAAAAAGTTGTCAGGTTTGATAAAAGTTTGATGTTGGTATTTCAAAACTATTTGACAGCRACTCACGGGATACAARTAAACAAATATAAAACATATAGGTAATGGCGTGTTACTATATAACTTTCGACGACGAGTGTATATAGATAGAGCAAACATGCGTTATTTTTAAACGAATGCGACTGAAAAAGAATGTGACTTGTTTTCGCGTACTATATGATACCTATATCTACATTGTAAATATTTATTTAAGTATATAACTGTATGCAACAATTATTGATATGTTCGAATATTCGGTCGTCAAYAATYGGCAAAAAAAAATCTATATCAAACACGGAATGTATTATATTTTTCGCAGTTTGATAATATTGGAGAAATTCYCTAATGAATGCGACCGTCGTGGTCTTAGGTACTCACTTGAGAAGACGTCAGGTACGAATCGTCGGACGCGTTATCAGTGTCGTTCTGACGAGTATCGGCCGCGGCGACAGCTGTTGAAGTCCCGTCCTGTAATCTCTGTGGTTGGTCCAGCTGCTGCTGTTGYGAGTGAGGCTGCAGCARCGGTGGCGGCGGCGGTGGTGGCGGCTGGTGATGCTGCTGGTGCAGGTGATGGTGATAGTGGTGCGGTTGCTGCTGTTGGTGGTGATCCCAGTAAAAAGGGTCCATCATGGTGACGGTGGCCGCGAAATATTATATTAAATACTATATTGTATTATGTAGACGCGATCGTACTCACTATATATATTGTATCGCACTTTAGCACGACCCGGCGTGGCACGTTTGTGTGTAATCTATTACAGACGGTTGGCGCGCGTCGAGCGGCTGTGGCGGCGGCGTCGTCGTCGTTGGGGTTCGGACGGCGCGGCGGCGGTCGGACGCGGTTAGGTCATAGTGCACACGCGTGGCACACACGTGCGTTATATGATGATGAGTCCAAATTTAAAAAAAAAAATTGCGGCGAAGGAAGGTTGAGAGTTATGAGAGGCGACGACTGCAGTCACCCAAGTCTACAAGGGATGTATGCAGTGAAGGCACGCGAATAAAAAATGTATTATATACATATTTATATTACAGTAAGCTTCTATTAATATAATTTGACTTAGATCGAAATAATAACTTTAGATCGAATATTTTTTCAATATCGGAAACACACGTGAGAAGTGAGATAAAAAACTCGGCGAACGTAGGAGTGAAACGGAGAAAGAGTGAGTGAGAAAAAGACGGGAAACTTTGACGTCGGCGACGACTATATTATACCCTATAGGACGACGACGACAACGACAACGACGACGACGACGGGTAAGCACGACGCGCGCGAACGACGGACAACGTGCGTGTGTGTTGGTGTATGTTTGTGTGTGTGTGTGGGAGCTGGCCCGGCCCCGTACGAGCGCGCGCGTTCCGCTCGTTGATAGGTTGATTACGTCACCGTTCGCCCCGATGTATATACGCATGCTGACRATGGTCTGTGAGTGTATGTCGCGTGTGAGTGTGTGTGCGAGTATGTCACGTGAGTGTTCACGGGTGTGCGCGTGCGTGTGTGTGTGTGTGTGTGTGTGTATACCCGTGTACGTTTGGATTAACGACAAATTGCCCCGGGCGCCACTTTCCGCATAAAACAACCCCTAAACACTAAATCCACTCCTTTCTTACACCCCCTACTCCGAACAAGCTCTTCCAATATTAATACGGTCACTATAACCACCGCACATCCTTTCGCCACAGATTTTTTTTTTTACTATACACATTTAGGTATACATTGCTCATCGTCGTCACCACCTTTACATAATATTTATTTATATATATATATATATATATGTATACACACGACTGTAGCAATATAGGTATATATAATATACGATCCCTGTGTAGTATATAATATCTACAATACACAATACTTTTAACAAAATAATGAAAATACTTTTCCCGTAATATGATGATGTTCTTCATAATATCGTAGATATTAGCATATTTATGAATAGGTATACATTCCATATCACTTATATTATTTACATTACATCATACTCGTRGTTGTAATATTTTTATAAAAATTCTATGTTGAAGCGCTTTTCGAACACACTATATAATCCACAATTTGTTGTATTCCACCAATGTCAACTATATGATCATGAAAACCTTAATTATTCAGAATACTATAGATACATTACAGTATAATAATAAGACAACATAATAATAAAATGGTTAAATTATGAAATCTGAAATATTGAATTTTCTTTTCTTAGTCATTCGTCGTATTTCCAAATTAATGAATTTTAAATACCTACTAATTGATTCTAAGATTTTTAACGGTGATGATAATTTATAAATTTCAGATAAAAAATGAATTGTCATCTGTTAATTAAACTAAGAAAGCAATATATACAATTTAATTAACATAATTATAACTGTAATATTTTTGTTTTTACTCTATATATTTAATAATTTATATTATTTGTTATATTCATGTAAATATTAACTACATTTACTTCTTAAATTAATACGTGCTGTATCTTAAACCGTAACATTCGTAACTGTAGCATTTCTCTATTTTAACCGTGATTATTTTTTTTTTAGTTTTTACGATTTACAGCTTTAACCGTTTCAGACTTCTATAACCTCGTCTAGGAGGGTCATTCAATGCTCAATTGTTAAAAAATATCAGCATCATCAGATTTTCCAACCATTCGATACTTTTGGCTTCGTGAAGAGAACAGACAATTTCTCCCCTTTAATTAAAACAACAACATACGATGTATACTGTAGTTTTCTAAACAACAACAACAAAAAAAAAGAAATACCGAAAATACAAACTGAATTATGTTGGTATCGAAATAAACTATTAAAATGAATTACTCAAATGCTAAATAAAATAAGTTTTGTGATTATTATTGAAACTCAATTTTATACACAGTAATATTTAGTACCTAAGTTAATTTTTAACACTGTAATATAGAAGTTAGTTTTAGTTTATAGATGGTCTTAATARTTTACAGTTTTAGACCTCATAAGTACCTATTACATCAGAATACCTTTTTTTTATAATATAATATTTTTCAAGTCTTAAACATATTTATGTACCTCAATACATTGTACGGTACTTACATAATTTATACAGCAATAACTCCAACTAAAATAGATCAAACGTCAATAATAATAAAATATTTAAGATTTAAACTGACTTTTGGATTGTAGCTTTAAAAAAATGATAAATTTTATTGTATTAGCTCTCATAACTATAAAATACAAATAATTTTTATTTTCTTATCTTAAACTGTATACTTAGAATACTGAAATAAATAGTTTATACTTTAACTTTAATCTGGTTAATGCCCGATCGAATACCTATGAATTTTTTCAAGATGTATGGTAAATAGGTAGGTATGTACCTACCTATTTAACAATATTTGGAAATTTAAATCATTTAACTGTCTAAGAATACATTATAATATAAAATATATTTAAAGTTAATTTTTTTATTATTTATATTTTATAATGTCAATATGCAATTGCTTTTTTTAGTCAGTCGACTTGAAAAATGTTATATCTATAATATTATCACTGCAGTAAATATTTGCATGCAAATACTATAAATACTCATCACGTAATAGCTATTAATAAGTATTGAATATTAATTATTATACCTTGACCATAAAGGAAATTTTTTAAAAATATGTAAAATATTTTAGGCAAGAAATGATTTATACTTGAAAAATTCACTAAAAATAATAAACAAATTAACTTCCTATCAATACTGTTAATATAGTTTAATATATATATATATATATATATATATATTATTGTTATATTCTATTATGTTGTGAATTGTAGATACACTAGGTACCATATTATACTACTTGATTTTACAATCAGTTTTTTTTCACATGATTAATTTTCTGAGTACCTACCTTTTTTAAGATCTTTTATGTTTTGAAACAATTATATCTAGGTATTAATTATAAAAGTACCTACCTACCTTATTATTTGTACTAAAATATGGAAGTTTTTAAAAATAACTTTTTTAAATTTAAAAATTCAAAGTAATGTTTACCATTACACTTAAGTAATATGATAAATATTATTATGATAAATTATTGTAAATGGTTAATTTTAAAAAGTAAACATTTTAACTACCAATGAATTAATGAAAATTTTTTAATAAAATGATTTAATTTAAGTAGGTATTTAACTGAAATTCATTATTTTATAACATACTTATTATTATAACTAGGTGTATATTTAAATTATAAATTAATTGTCTACTGTTTTGATAACATTGAATTTAAAATGCAATAATATTGTGACGAAAATATTAAAAATAAACATGACCAGAATGTAAATAGATGATCAAGCTTATATCGATTTTTTTATTGTATGGTTGTTATTAATGATATATCCGTCTAGACAATACGAACAATAATTGTTCAAAAGATAGTGACTATAGAAGGGTGATGGTTGACATTTTATAAATATTTTTGAAGATCAGAAATCTAACCTTCGGGGTAGGTATAGGTACTATTACGATGTCATATGCAATAACAATTATCAAATATTTGTAACTTGTACAACTAACTTGATAAAGATAATTTAAAAGAATAAACAATTTATATATATATATATATACGTAATAATATATTATGTATATACATAAAAAAGTTGCTTATAGTTGTAGCTCAGAATATTGAGAATATTATAAATGCTGTCAAAAGTTCCTTACAGAGAATATTTGATTGTATTTACACTACGGTCTAACTACTCTAGTCATTAATTCTTAACAAACATAAAAAATAAACATAATATTCAATGGAGTATGGACCATAAAATCTTAGATAATATAATTACAAATCTGACGTCTTGATATGAATGACTAAAATGTGGTCCACATATTTGAACAACAAAATAAAAACACATAAAACATAAGCTCAAATTTTACGAACGCACAATTGTACGAAATTGTATCAAAAAAATAAATCTTTCTTAGTAGGTAATAGGTATACCATAAAAAATGTGTTTGAAGACATTTTCGGAAATATGATATTGTCAAATAATACAAATTGTGAGCAACAAAATACTAAAATACCACAAAATTCCAATCAATATAATATAATTATTATCTTCAGTCTTTTTAGTATCATAACTTGTTGAATACTAAACTTTCAATATATTATTCATACCGCTACAGTTGAATTAAATTAAATTAATAATATAATAAATGATGAAATACATATTTAATAAGTCAATTGTTCAGTTAATTATTGAAAATACCATTCGTAACAATACGCACCATAAATTTAAATTAAATTTCCCCAGAAAACTTTCCTAAATGATTCAATAACGAATAACTATATATAATAACTAACAAGTATACAAAGTACCTATACTACCACAAATAGGTATATGCTGCTAGTCACAATATATTTATTTCCGTGTCAATAGTATCTATAACAATCTTCCATTACCTGCGGATACTATTATCATATTTATTTATCATAGAAACGTTTGTTTATTTCATGAGTGCAAACATATAAGATTGTTTAAATAAACAATAATTTATAGTGATTATTATTTAATATATTATGATCAAACCTATGAATAAATATTCCTATACATAGTATATGCTTTATTATTATTTATTGCTTTACAAAATATATATAAAAAAAAGTGTTAATAATAAAGCAATTGATGTTCTTTTTATGCGTACATTCTAAATATATTATAATATTATGTGTTAACACGTTTATAATACGTAGGTACGCCCGTACGCGATTACTCGTAATAAGATTTATAACTGCAGCGAATTGTAATCGTATGTGCGTGTGTAATACTTAGAATATTTTAGCTTATTATACAGTTGTACTTACCGTGTATATATATCTATGTGGTACTAATATATTGTATTAATTCTTCCTTCGCTATTATTCGGGCAATCTACGTCGTCGGTGTACCTTTCTGTCAGCAGGCATTATAATATTATATCCTTATTCCTTAAGTGTACATTACTTCAGAAGCGTTTTGAAAAACGCACGAGACCTTAACGCACTGACTACACCTCGTATATACACATATTACATGGCAGCGGCTTCGTCAACAGTTTAAAAGCGAAACCACATGCGAATGTTCAACAGTTTTCTTGTGTATTATAATAATACTAACTATACAATATTATGGTGTTGCTGTTCTCATATTTCTACGTAAATGTTTTAAACTCGATGGTAATATCAACTTGCGAGACTGCCGCGTCACGAAGTGCAGTAGGGAGGCTAAAATCCTTTTAAAACTTTCTAGCCCTTTTCCACTTCGACCGATCCTTGTCTTTTT